GGCAATGAAATCCACAGAAAAGCTTAAATGGATAGAGGCAATGGAAGAGGAAATGTCCAACATGCGAAAGCATAAGGTATGGCATCTTGTTCCACTTCCTAAAGACAAGACTCCACTAGGTTGCAGGTGGATTTTTCAACATTAAACGTGATGAATTTGGAAACATTGTTCGTTTTAAAGCTCGTTTAGTGGCTCAGGGTTATCGGCAAATTAAATACGATACCTACGATGAAACCTACTCTCCTGTAGTCAACTTTTTCAGTAATAAGGCTCTTTTTTTTCTAGTAATAATAATTTTAATTCTTTTTCTCTCCCTTTAGTTGCACACCTTGGATGGGCAAATATACAATGCGACGTAAAAAGTGCCTATCTCTACGCTCCTTTATCAGAGGAAATTTACATGTCCCAACCTCAGGGTTTTGTAGAGCGAGATAAAGAAACTTTTGTGTGTCGTTTAGATAGAGCCTTGTATGGTTTTGCATCAGAGTGGGCGATTATGGTACTACGAGTTGGATAGAACACTATGTAACCTAGGGTTTATCAAGTTTGAGTGGTGTAATTGTGTCTATCGTTTTAAAGATTTTGTCATTCTGTTGGTTTATGTTGATGATATAGTTGTGTTTGGGAAAAGTGAAGTTCAGGCCTAAAAGGATATATTAAAAGTCCTGAGTTCACATTTTGATTTGAAAATTTTAGGTAAAACAAGAAAGCTTCTGGGTGTGGAATTTGAATATGAGAACAATAGTGTTTTAATTCATCAGCAATTATATATAGAAGACATAGTTGATCGATTTTAAGTCTTTTAAAATACAAATTACTTCCCTTCCAATAGTTAAAGGTGTGAAATACTCAAAGTCTCAAAGTCCCAGTACACAAGAAGAAACGACTGAAATGATGAATTATCCTTATAGAAATGTTTTGGGATGTCTCTCGTTTCTTTGCAATCGTACTCGTCCGGATATAGCTTATGCTGTTAATATATTTTCTCAGTTCCAAAGCAATCCTGGTAAGTTTCACTGGGAAGGATTACTTAAACTTTTAGGGTACGTTTCCAATACCAGACAGCACAAACTTAAACTGGTATGCAAGGAACTGAAGCTCAATATATATTCAGATTCGGATTTTGCTTCAAGCAGGGATGATATGGTGTCTATTGGTGGACAAATAGCTTTGTTGGGAGAATCACCTGTATCTTGGCGTACATTTAAAGAAAGGGGAGTGAGTTTATCTACTATGGAGGCTGAATTTATCTCCATGACTGAATCAGCAAAAGAATTAGTTTGGTTTAAAAACATTTTGGGATGAATGCATTCAGTTTAAAATTGCAAGTAACTATGTTTCGAGGCCAATATTGTTTGCTGATAACATGGCTGCTATATGTTTTACAAAATCACCATTGAAAACTCAAGGACAAAGCATATAGATCTGAAACTATTTTTCATTCGTGATCTATTGAACAGGGAAATTTTGATTTAAAATATGTTCCAAGTAAAGATAATCTGGCTGATCCCATGACAAAACCGCTGACTAAGCATAACCTGATAAGATTTTGTGGAACAATTTTCTTATGAAATTTGTTTTTGTGTGTATTTAAATTAAGAGTTTTGTTTTTATTTGAAAAATAATATGTTATAAGTCATATTATGATGGATATTAGGTAAATGTAAAACTGTATAGTGTAGAATGTTGTATGATTGACCAGGGCCCTGGGTAAAATGTATTGAGTGTGTGATCATACATATGTCTTTGTATTGTTTTGTAACATGTTGGACTTTCTTGCTATGGTAAAATTTTTGAATAATGGGATAAGATGTTCCCAAAGGAAAAATTTTTCTTAAAAATTTCTGAATGAATCTGAATGAAATTGTGATATTTATTTTATTCTTGTTTTTGAATTTTGTAAAGATACTGGCATTCGGTTTTTATTTCAGGTCGGAGATGATGATGTGGGGGGGGCATTTGTGTTGGAAAATATGCTTATTTTTAAACCTTTTACTGCATCATCTCTCCTCCTTGAAATGTTTATTTTTTAGTTCTTATTTTAATGTAATATAGTAGTTACTTCTACTTCTTTTTCTTGCTGCCACTGTTTGCATTGAGAACGGACTGTTTCAACCTAATTGAGATGCAAAAACGAAATGTGATGTTACGTCATCTGAAAAGCCGATTCGTGCCGATAGCTGATTGGTTGCCGTGAGATGACGTCATTCCTACTTCTGCTATAAGTATCTCGCGTCGCTCTGGCTCAACCCTTCTAGTTTCCTTCTAGTTCCTGCTTTCCTGGCACTTGAGTGAGCGGTTTCCAGCCCCTTCAGAAGGATGCATGCAGTCCGGTGATTAAAGTGCCTTGGTTCCGGTTTGCGGGATGGCTGTTCCTGAATAAAGTTCCTTGGTGCCTGTCCGTGGGACGATTGTTCCGGAAAAAGTTCCTTGGTTCATATCCATAAAATGATGGTTCCAGAATAATGTTCCTTGGTTCCAGAGGCTACCATATGAGTGACTGCTGTGGGCGGCATCCATGTTCTTCAATAAAGGCGGAATTTAAACACATGTGAGCGGCGATTCCTCGTGCAAACGGAGTTAGGCCGGTTTTAAGTGCTTTCAAGAACTTCATTAAAATTTTTCAGGTGTTTTCTCAACCATTGATTATGGACTTATTGAATGTGTTGCCAGCTTCATTTTTAGGCCGCATAATTACTGTTTAGGACATTTTTTGTTTTGTATGAATGCCAGTGTTTTTGGAGACCAGGTAAAAAAATATTATTTGATGAATGATGGTTATATTATATTTTTCCTAAGACTCTGATATTGTTGAAATTTATTTTCTGTGTTTTTATTCTTTATTATATTGTTATTAATTGGTTAAGTTCAAAACCTTTTATTGTCTTCATGTCTGCACAAACATATTATCTCAGGAGCTTTTATTGCTACTTTTGCTAAATGTTTAATTTCTTTAAACTTTAAACTTTGCTTTAGCATCACAGCCTCTCATTTGAGCCCCGGTAGGTATGGAGAGAAGGTGCGTTTGAATTCGTGGTCAAAGGAGGAAGTGAAGCGGGTATCCGCTATGAATGGGCACGTTGAGTATCAGAAGAGAAATTCATACCGCCCGTGAATTCTATGGGCCAGGTGTAATGTCGAAGCAAATGGTGCGGAGATGGTGTTGCACATTCAGTAATGGACGCGCAGTAGAGGCATACCGAGAGCTGGGGCGGACGCGCACAGCCATACAGATGCAAATGTCAGGAAGGTGATGACTGATAGAGCGAACCCGGCGTTCACCCGATGAGTACGGAAGAAACTTGGAATCTCACATGAGCGAGCTCAAAACACATCTCCACGACATTCTTCGATACAGAAAAGTGTCAGCAATGGTGACGACAATTGACCTCGACACACAAGGAACAACACATGGGGGTCAGCCTGGAACATCTCGTGCGTTACCTGAAGATGGCAATGACTTCTGTTTCGGATTGTGGGGGGATGAAACGTGGGCCACCATTTCACGCCAGAATCGAAGGCCGCATCTATGGTGGAAACATCCGTCATCACTGCCGAAAGAAGTTCAACAACCCTCGGCAGGTAAAGTGCTCCTCACGTTTTCTGGACGCCCCAAGAGTTTTGTTGCTGACTTTTTGGAAGTTGGAACATCAATGCTACACGCTATTGTGACACCTGTTGAAATAAATAGGCGATTTAAAAGCGGCTGGCCTCTCACACTGGCGTTCTGCTGTTGGATACAATGCCAGACCCATCGGCGCGGCGCAATGCAATCATATTGCAACTCTTGTTGGAAGCGCCTACACATCCGCCATACGTCCTGATCTCTCACCAGACTTCCATCTGTTTCCGCTTTGAAGAAAAAATCTCGGGGAAGGCGCTTTGGAAGCATACTGAAGTGAAACAGCGTCAACGCTCTTCCATATGCAAAGCCTGATTTTTTTCTGAGGCTTCTGAAGCTTATCAAGGGTATGACAATTCTCAATGTACTTGGGACCTATGTGGAAATAAGGGTATATTTTAATGTCTCATTCTATTTTTTGACTTTCATACTCTGACCACAGTCAACAGGGGAAACTTATTTTTCAACTTTCCCTCGTACTATCAGTGGTATAGAGGGATGAAATCCTCAGAACTATTGTGAGCCTTTATGCTCCAGCAATCAAGGAAAAATTCATTCTCATGGATAATAACACCAGGCCACGTTGTGCTCAGCTAGTGGACAATTTCCTTTTTGATAAAGGAATCCTTCGAATGGATTGTCCAGCATGTTCCCCAGATATGAACCCAATAAACCATGTTTGGGACATTCTAGGGAAAAGGGTTGCTATTCGCTTATCAGCCCATTAAGAAACAATTCAGCAGTTTGAAAACTCTTTTCTACAGGAGTGGAAGAGAATACCCTAGTCACTCATTGATAACCTGATTGAATCAGTGCCTCGTACGTATGCGACATTGCTTTTGGTCAAGGGAAACCATACATTGTTGAAACTCATTTGTATCGAAAAATTACATTTGGGGGGGGGTTGTTTATTTGTGTAATATACACAAATTGGACATTTTTCATTTACCAACAAATATCATCAATAAAACTGAAGTATGCCTTGTTCATTGCTTCTATTTCTTTTCACATATCTTACAACAGTTATACATAATATAGAGTCATCAAAGCATTTCCTCATCCACAGTTTATATCCAAAATCTTCTAATTGCTTTGAACAGTGTATATAGACACAGCAACTAATGATAGACCTCGCACTCACGATACACAATCATACACTAGCAAGTGATTGTAAGGCCACTTCTTTGGTGTACCTCCAAGTAACACCTTGCACACTCCCTGGGGTACACACATTCCACTTTGGAGACCACTGAGCTAGACGAGTCATACAATTTGATTAAATCTTAAGAAATATTAAAAATACATATAATTAAGAATACTCTAGGAAAAAAAAGATAACCCAAAGCAACAAAGAGTAAAATTTATAAAATAATTTTACCTGTCCTTCCCCTATTGTTGGTGTCACTAGAACTAACGAACATGTTGTGGTTGCTAAAATACACCCTAAAGGCTGAAATGAAACATATTTGATTATATATTACAAAATAACATGGGTGATAATTCATTAAATTACATCTTACATGCACTCATCATAAAATATATTTTAAATATAATTTAATTTCTTAATCAATATGAAGCAAAATAAAGCATCTATGTTCTGAAAAATAATAATAATAAAAAAAAAATTAGGTTAAATCAGAAGAGAAACATACTACAGTGAAACTTGAAATTAGTAAAGAAAAAACCTTTTATTTGATGTAGATTTAGATAAAAAACTCAAAACTGCAAAATTTGTCTTGCAAATTTTGTTGGTTCTGATGGAGAGGGACCTGTTTGCCCTTGAAATCGACTGTGTTTTTTGTTATAGATTTTTAGATTAAACTGAATATAAAAAAATGATTTTTATTTAGTTTAAAAATTTAAACATGGAAATTCTATCTATTCATAACTTAGTTGAAAAAATGGTTACAACAATGATGAAAAATACTTTGTTTTTATACTGTTCTTAGAATGCTTAATAAACTGATAATCTAGAAAAGCTACTTCAGAATATTAAATTATATTTTAACATCACTGCACAGAAAACAATAATTTATTTTTCTCCTCCTTCTCTTAATTAATGTAATATGTCTTACTCTCATTTCTCTACATCATTAAATGGGATTAATGCATAATTAAATATATTAATATTCAGGCGTATAACTAGAGTCTAGTTTTACAAAAGAAAGTTAGTATAAAATGTCGCTTTAATAACTTTTCATAATTTTTTTAATGATTTTAGTTACATAATTTTATAAATTTTGCATATGACATTTAAACAAACACATTCAAATTTTAAGAAATTCTTAATATCTTGATAAGACCACTTAACATGAATAATAAACATTAAACGTACATAACAAACACTGTCAGCAATACCTTCAATTAATTCACATGTGTTGGTAAAATTTTAGGAATATGACTCATATTAGTAAAATATAATGGAAAAACAACAAGCTTAAATTTGGTAAAAATAAAACATCACGTAAAATCTCAAAATATGTTGAATATATTCTATACATTCATTTACAACACTTCTATATCATAAAAGAAAAAAAAAAAAAAAAAAGCATTAAAGACACTTACATATACTGAAGTTAATGAATAACATTCCTGACCCTGAAGATCAGTAGTAGCATCAACAGATGAACCCTCATGGTTAATATTTGGCCAGTAGCGAACATGACCTTCAGGTGAAACAGCAAGAGCGGATGGCAATTTAGAATCTTCAGTTAGAAAAAGATGAACTAGCTCAGCTTTATGAGCTAAATCACTAGGTGGTAGAGTCAGTTCTTTGCAGTGAACCTGCAATAATTTAGAACATAAATAACAACATTAATTAAAATAAAAGAAAAAGATGTAAATAAGGAAAAAAAATTCTAATGTAAAAATTAAAAAATATGATGTGTACACCACATGACTTCCTTGTACGGAATATTAAATTATACGCATTTTATTTAAGCTTATTAGATTGAATTAAACCTACTTCGCCGACAGCGCATAAACCACAATACAATAAATGCATTCTTTAAAATTCACTTTGTTTACCATAGCGACACTCTGGCACTAAGTTTACTTAACAGTATTATCTTTCATTCATATTATGACTCAGAATGCACAAAATGTATATCATTTAAAGAATTATCTAATCGTTGCCACATGTTCTACTCAAATACTATAATAAAGCTAGAACTACGTATAAAAGAAATTAAGCAAACAAAACAACAAAAAAAAAAAAAAAAAAAAAGTTTTTCACAGACGATTGAGTATTTTTCTCATTTAATTAATTCAGTTTCTCACTTCGCGAGAAGGCAAAAATACATAAAAAATCAAAATATCTATATTAAAAATTACGAAGTAAATCTCAAACGCTTATTTCCTCGAAAAAATTCCAGAAAGAATTAAGCATGATTTAATTGGCAATAATAAATGAATGCGTTATCTTTGTTGTTGCGAAGCTAAGTTTTTCTAGATTGGCAACAAATCTACTAGTCTCCTGTTTCAAATGTAAACATCAATGGCCGCCATTAAAAACAGGCTTAGCAGCAATTAAACAAATTTAAAATTAAACGTAGACGTACTTGTTTAAAATGTAGACGATACTTTTACCCTGTTTGAAGGTAATAAAGATGATTTAAATAAAGTTCTTTCAACAATGAATTCTATCGATCCTGCTATTCAGTTCACTTTTGAACTTGAGACTTGCAATTCTCTTCCGTTTCTCGACATTCTGGTCACACGTAACACATCCAACTTCAGTACTACAGTTTACCGTAAACCTTCATCGGTTTGCCTTCCACCACACTTTAAATCATGTCATCCGACTAAACAAAAGTTAGCTTCATTTTATTCCTATGTTTTCCGTGCTCTTCAAGTTTGCTCCTCCAAACTAGCCCGTGATGAGGAACTAAATTATTTAAAAGCAATAGCTATTGACAGGGGCTTTTCACCCAACATTATTAATCAAGCAGTTAAAAAATTCTCATCTCAACACACTGAAAGCCACACTCTATGTAGGAGATTATAAAAATTCTGTGTCATTCCCTTCTTTCCATCAATTAGCTATAAAGTTGACATATTTTGCAGAAATTAACTTCGGGTTGTTTACTCTCCCATCAATAAAATTCCAACTTCTATACTCAAGGACCCCATTCCGGATATGAATTCCTGGGGTATTTATAGGATTCCTTGCCAGTGCGGTTGGTTTAATTTACATGGCCAAACTAAGAGAGCCTTAAAATTTCGCGTCAAAGAACATGAGGCATATGTTAGAAAAAGGAAACACAGAAGTCTTCTGTTGCTCACATTGTTGGTCCGAAAATCACACTTTCATTTTTCTGCTGCCAAAATTATTCAAAAAACAGCTTCCATTGGAGAACTGGATTTTCTAGAGGCATTTCACATTCATAAAAATCTTTCTGTTCTAGTTAACGATCTAATTCCAATCCAAATTTGCCTTCGGCTTTTAGAGAAATAATGTTTTAGTTCTGGTTTCGCCAACAGATGGCCACTTGCTTATTCTTGTCCAGGCTTTCTTATCTTATCTAATCATTATTTCCTATCTTGTTCATTTGCGGTTTTGCAGCTGAAGATGATGGTTCGGTAAAACCATCGAAACTAGTCCTGTGAAAATTTTGTGAATATAACGCTGATTTTTGTTGTTTGACTTCTGAATTAACTTTAAAATTGTTGATAATTCCAAAAATATTGCATACAGATTTACTAAAGGCATAAAATCCTTAACCAGAAGATAGGAACAACATAATTCAATCATTTTTATAGCCAAAAATGTACAATTTACAAGCATATAAGAGTAAAGAAACTGAGATCACTGAGCTGGGTAATAGAGTGGATATATATATAAATATATTTATATACGTTTAGTGCGGCCGATTGCAACCAAAATACGAGGTGCACATCTACATGTTATAGCAGACCTATGTACAAAATTTTCAACGTTCTGAGGGTGCTCGTTTTTTGAGTTATACGAGATACGTATACACACGTACGTACATAAGCCGTACGACACCACAAAAAATCTCTTTTGAATCCATTTTAAATCAGTTTTATAATTTGTTTGGAAGGAAAAAGAGTCCTTTATCCTGTCCTTGCGTACAGAATGTCATGTAAAAACATCGTTAAATTGCATTCAATAGCCGTCAAAATGAATATTTTTCATTGAAATATGATACTCGAAATTTTTCGTGATTACAATACTTTTTTTTTACTTCGTACAAGAAAGTAAAAATAGCAAAACAAATTAAAACAATTTCATCTTACTATCTTGCATTAGAGCAAATTATAATACATAAATGTAGCTTTCATACTGAAGTAATCTCTAAATTGATGTAAAAGTAGTTTTTATAATTTGGATACAATTCTCTGTGATAACTATAAGTTTGTCTAAAACCAGAATTCATCAAAAATATTTTGGCATTAACAGGAAGTAAATATTAATTAAAAGATATGCCTTATAAGAAATGTGTGTTATAATAAGAGATTATTATATTATTATATATATGGGAGAAATCAGTGTCTTAAAATGAATTGCAACTGAACTATCTGTTACGGATAGGCATGATTTTAAAAATGAAAATATAATTTTATATCACAGCATTTGAAAAGATAATTTTTATGTACTAATTTATATGTAGAGTATCTTATGTTAATTAACCAGTTATTACGCTTTTCATCTTTATTATATTTCTCCTTTCTGTATTCCTCACAAGAATGCAAATTAGTTGTGTGTATTTAAGCTAAGGTTTTTTTAATCTTGAGACAGAAGCGTTTTTCTAGCATTACATGCCATGTGTTTATGCTATTAGTCTCTGCTAGCTCTAGCAGTTGCAATTATATCAGCTTGGTGTTCTCTCATTGCCAATACTTTAATCTGGCATGCTAGTAAATTATTGAACTAGCTTTTAGCTTAATATTTAATTATGTAATCTTCAACTACTGATCTGAATCAATCTTATTTATTTGCATTGCTACCAGCTATGGTCACTGCAGCACAAAGTCATGCATTTAAGTTCAAAGTTCTAATTAAAAAAGAAGGTTGTTTTTATAACATTAGTAAGACTTTGTTGTTCTATCTCAGGCATAGCAATAGCTAAATGTCTGTTAGGGTTATAAGACTAAAGTAGTGGTACTATACCAAGTATAAACATTCGTATATATGCTAAGATTTTATAATTTTATTTTATTAATAATTTTTCATAATAATAGTTTTACAAAAAAAATTCTCAGCTCCAGTTTTACAGTATAACTGCAATCAGTATTTCTTAAAAAGTTTGCCATTTGAGAATTTGCACTCTTTTAGAATACTAAAAATTTCACAATAATTTTTTTTTTCCCCCTTTAAGAAATTTGAAATATTTTTTAACTGAAACGATGCAAAGTGCCCATGTATACACGTAAACAATGTAAGTACCTGAAATACACAGTTAATAAATAAAAACTTACAATACTTTAATCTTTTATATGCCAAAATGTCCAGTCACAATTCAATGTGATTAGTTAGTTAATTAATCAAGGCTAAACAAACAACGGATCTACTGAAGACATAAAAACTTTCATGGAGAAGTCTCTAGAAAACTGAACTTGTATCTTTGATCTATCATTTCTGAATTCTGTAATTATCATTTCTGAATCTGGCCCCGATAATGAAAGAGTAGCAATCCAAGTTACCAACTGAAGAAGCTTTATGGAAAATTTTCACAGAATCAAAGTCAAAATTGTAATTAAGTGATTTTTAAATAGGATTAACTATAAAAAATTAATTTATTATCTCCTTCGAATATAGAATTTGTGGTCCTCTAAAATTTTAGCTTCTTATATATTACCCCAGCAACCAGCCAAGTAGTGAGATTTAGTGCCAATTATGAATGACTATATGCTTTACAATTCAACAGTAACGATTGGTGACTGATGACTACTGCAGAAATTTCCATTAAGAGGACAATATGTAAGTTCCAAATTTTAACACTCTTTTAGCTTGATTGACATAAGTTAAGTCACACTGATAAGTTATAAATTCTCCAAGAAATAAAATCAGAAATGGCATCTTTAAAAACCAAACAACAAATTTACTGGTAAGTGAGAAAATGACCAAGCAGTTTTATAACTGGTGGATTTATAACATATCTTGACAATGCAGATATCCACCAAATTAGAACAGTATTAAAATTTCAAATCTATACACATGGATATTATGTTTGAAAAAAAAAAAAAAAAAAAAAGAGAAATCACTTATTGATAGCTAGTCATAGTTGGGCACTTAATCACAATTTTTATTTTGATTCTCTGAAAATTATCCATAAAGCTTTTTTATGTGGCAAACTGGATTTCATTCAAACTTCACATTTACGATACTTTATTTATTTAGTTAATGGCATTAATTTTAATACAGTTCTTCATAATTATTAAGAATTTTATTATCTTAATTTTTCCTGTTTTATTACTATTTTCTTCAACAGATTATGCTATGCTCTGTTTTTGCTTTGATCTGGCCATCCCAAAGAAGATCTTGTGCCTGATCATCCTCACAATTGAGTTTTATTCAAAATATATCTCAAACCAAGATTACTTTCTTGACTAATTTAACACTGGCTTGTTTCTCTTCCAATTTGAGCATTATTTTAATTATGCCAAAGGACAAAATTTGCATGGGAAGAAAGGCAAAGAGAAGGTTATGATAAACTGTAGAGTTGAAATTAAATTTATTACATATAGTTAAATAGAGGAAAAAATGATGGAGACAGCAAATTTAGTTCAGAATGAAATGAATGGTTGGATTAAAAGAATTT